CCCTGGTGACAGCTTCATCTCCCTCTGGCTGAGACTGCAGCGTGAATCAGACCGTAAAAAACACATCTTGAGTCTCATGTCGCATTTCTTCTGCAAAATGCTTTCAGAAACATTAGCATGCCGCATCCCATAGGGTGTCTGGATTTTACTTTCCAGTCCTCAGCTTGCTCCCTTTGCGGACTTTAGCTTCAACAAGCTGTTTCTTGTTACAGCCCTAAAGAGTTGTGATTAGCCTGCTGTACACATAAGAGGGAAATTAAACCATTTAGTTGTGTTTAGCAGCTCAGCCCCGTCTTCAGGTCCTCTCTTCCCAACTAAACGCTGTAACTAAACAATGACTAATGAGGCCAATTTGCTGCCAATTAATTGCCCCAGGAAAGGACCCCTAATTGTGGTGAGCAAGGTGGCTGCTTCAGAGCATTCAAGGGGCATATGATGGGCAGCATCCCCCCTACCTCTGCCTTGGGGCTTATTAGCGTCTTTGCATTTGTTGCAAAGTGCTGTTAATTGGGAGCTGGGGACAAGGAAATGAGAACTCTCGAGGCTAATTGATAGGCACCTGCGGAGGGCTTTAGTGGCTGCAAAGTTCCTTTGACTTTGGAGTGAAGTCCTGATGTTTTCTTTTTTTGCCCTGAGAGCCAGGGGCTCCTGTGTATTATTGGATGTGAGTCTTAATTTTCTCCAACAGATGGGGGTCCTACTTGCCAATAGAGAGGAAGGAAATAGGCTGGAGGAAGCAACTAATGAGGATATATGGAAGGGATTGCAGTGACTTTTTCCATTTGTATCCAAGGTGCCCTTCTTGGGACAAGCAGAGCACTTAAATGAAGCTTATGGGCTTTCTTAGGAAATTTCAATACTGTTTGCATCTGTGTCTTGGAGGTATTAAATAGCTTTTACTGTATCATAGGTCTGTTGAGTGGGAATAAGAAATGTATTTTTTAAAATGTATTTTGTGACTTACTGACAAAATACTTGGCTGTTAAGCAGTCTTGTAATTTCAGATTGGGGAGTAGATGCTCCACTCTAGAAGGCTGCACTTAAGGATCTTATGCAAAGTTCTGTTTGCCCATAGGGAACAGTCGGAATATCTGACTGTTAATTTCTTGTGTGTGCATTACAGGGCTCGAGGTGTCTTCCAACTAGATCTCCTCTGTTTCCATTTTTTTATTCTACCATACCTGATTTGAGTTCCTCATCCTGTGCTCCCTGCCCTTGTCTCTCAAACCAGTCCTCCTCCTGTACTAAGATCTTGCGTGTAGCATCATGAAAGTAGAGTGCCAGCAGTGCAGGAGCCAGAAACTGCTGCCGGGGCCTTTAAGTACCCCTTGCATATAAGTACCTCTTGTGCAAAGCAGTGGTTCCTATTCAACCCACTTTGTGCCTGTGCTGTGCTTAAATGTTTTGATCAAAAGGCAAGTATTTGAACTCTCTGGGAGCTGTGGCATGACCAGTTCCAGTGTAAACTAAATTAGGAAAAGGGGTGTAGCACTACTCCTTGCCTCCTTTCATAGCCTTGAATTATAATGTTGATCCAGCCTGCCCCACACCTTCCCAGGTAAATATCTCAGGAGGAGTTTTGAGCTGTGAAGGGCTTTGGTCATAAAAGGCAAGGATAACAACAGCAGATGTTTGTGTATTCTCTTGTTTGTGGTTTCCTTGCTGCCTCCCGTATGCAGCCCCTGGTCTGTAATAACTGCTATAGCGGGTATTTTTGTGGAAACAAATCACTTGCTTTCATCTGGAGAGCAACAGTGATTGTGCTGGGGAAGCATGCTCTATTTTTCATGTCTCAGTCTTTCTTATTATTTAAATTAATGTGAGTTGCAGTTGTCAGGAAGTGAAGGATTGACGGCAATTAACTAGAACAGGCTCGGTGCAAGCTGTTTCTGCAGAAGCCTGTCCTACCTAGCTCCCTCACTGCATCTTGCTTGGGACTTGAATTCCCACACTCATTCTCACCTTGCACCCCTCCTGCCCTGCAGCCTTCCCAGCCCAGAGCACCCTACAGTATTTCTGCCCTTGTGTCACTCCTGCCTTGTAGCTCTCCTGCTCTTCCAGTCCAAGCTTCTTACGGCAAACGCCACTTGTTACTTTGGGGCTTGTTATTTACTGTCAGTGACGTGGAAGATGAGATGCTGACCTGGCATTAGCTTTATCCTATAGATGTGAAATGTAGAAGAAACAAATATGTGAGTTTCAAGCCATTTTTCTCAGCATTCATTTCCTTCTTGTCAGAATCAGTCTCTGGTGTGGGTGGAGCATTCTGTCTCTGGGGATGAAGCAGTCCTTGCTTTCATGTCTGTCTCTGCTCCCCTCATCATCCAGGGGGATCCTAAGCACAGTGTAATGGATACCCCATACTATATTTACACAGAAAGGGAGGAAAAAATCTGGCAATTTCATCTTTTTCAGCAGTACCAGAAAAAGTACTGGCATTCATTTCCCATGGTCTTTGGAGCCAGAGGGGTCCAGCGGCAGCCTGGTCTCTCCTGGAGGAAAAAGTCAGAATATAAAAATTCCTAGAAGCACTGTTTAGCAGTAGTACTTGTCCTGTTGTGGGCCTGCAGCCAGTGGTTTTGCCTCTGCTAATGGTTCAGAGAGGCCAGACACAGAAGAGTGTTGCAGTTGAGGGTCAACAGATGGCTGGGCAAAAGGAGGCTCTGACGCCCAGAAGATCCTGGCCCCGGGAGATTTCATTCTCAGCAATACTTCTTCCAGCAGTCTAGAACCTGTGAAAACATAACACAACCCACACATGGGAAAAAATAATAAGGTCAAAGCCTCTCATTTAAGGCTGTCCTAAAAAGGTGTGTGCAAAGTAATGACAAGTGCCAAGGAGGCAATACTAACTGTTGCTGGTGCTGACAGTTTTGGCATTTTAACATGCTGGCTTGACACCCTGAAAATTAAAAGTCTCTGACTTTTTATCTGAGTGAAATTATTGTCCACTGGCTTTGGAGTCTAAGCAGATGAAGCCAAACCGCATTTTAAATTTACAGGGAAATTATTTCTTGCCCTATTCCCCCTTCTCTCAGCCTTTCCATGCCCTCTGACCAAGGTGTCAGCTGAAAGGAACCAGCCATTATATTCCTAACAGAATTTCAGCCTTGGATGCCCTTTTCTCCCTTGTCTGAAAAAGTGGCAAGCAAGATATGACCATCTGGACACATGCTCCTCCCCTTGGGCATTTGGTAGGCGTTGTCAGAACTGTATCTGCTGAGTTTACTTGATCCTGTACGAACTAAAATGTCTTGATGGCTTTGGGAAGTGGCAGGTTACACATGTCCTAACTGCAGCTCTGCTGCTGCCCTGTGGTGGCTTTTGCTGCTCTCTCCTCAACCTTGGCTGGCATTGCACCATTCTGCTAGGACTTCACACTGGCTTACAGCTCCATCTGGTAATGCTGATTGAGCTTAGTCCTTCTTGGTTTGCTGCACAGCTTTTTTTTCCTCATGCAAATCTTAACCCTTTGAGGTTATGATAATATTCCCAAACTGTGGTCTAGCCACTGGTTTTACTCCTGGGTTCTGCTTGCCTGTGTTTGCCGGTGACCCATGTGTCCCTATTGTGCTGACCCTCAACTGATTCCTCACTGCCCCCTGCACTCTCACTTCTCCACAGGTTATGGCAATCCTTCCTCAGTGTGGTTGGCTTAAATCCCTCCTTGCTGGGATGAGTGAAAGTGTCAGCAAGTACATGCTTGCCTCACTTCTTTTCAATAGGTCCTCTTTCTCCAAGGGAGTCCCATGGTCATAGATGCTAAAGTGTTTTCCATGGGTCTGGGACCTACAGAGAGGGACTAGTGAGCTGTGGGTTGTAAACAATATTCCTATGAATCCAGCAACACAGCTGGAAGTAGTGAGTTGCTCTCTTTAGGCTTCATTTCCTTTTCTCCACCTAGCTTATAGGCTTTGCCTCAAAAGGACCATCAGGCACTCCTGCAGGGAGGGGGAAGGGGAGGCTGTTGTCTGTTTACTCCGTGGTAAGCAAAGCAGAAAATGATGTTGTTTCATTCCTCGCTACACACAAATTTGGAAGCTGAAAATATATTTTAAAAAAAATTAGAAGATTCCTTTTTAGTCAAACTCCCTCACTACCTCTGCAGTTTGAAGCATGGAAGAAAGACATGGAAGAGACTGCAACAGCTGACATACTCCACACCTGGATGTGTTCAGGTCCCTGCATGGTCACTCTGGTCCTGTGACACAATCTCAGCTAGCTTGGAAGGTCTTTAGGGATCCTGAATGCCCAAGCAATGGCTGGTCTAGTGAATTTTAGAGACCCTACTGTGCTTTTGGTGTTGTGCTGTGTGAGGTGCAGTCATCCAGAAGCTACCTACTGCAGGTAGCCCATGGGGCATCTCTATTGGCTGAAAGATGTCACAGAAACCTTCCTGCTGTTGCCACTGTAGAAATTCCCGTTAGCTATGGTGCACATCCTTGCTTCTCATGCCATTGCACAGTCTCTACAGGAAGAAGCTTATGGACTCTCTAGTTCAGTTCCCAGTGAGCATTTGGTTATGTGAACAGAAGAGCAGTGTGCTGGCTAGCAGCATGGGTCCTATCTGCCCATGGGAGGTAGCAGTAACTACTACACCCTCTGAGTCAGTGCCTTGAGGCCTTGCATTCTGTAGGAGGATGTAGAACTCTTTCTGGGACTGTTTGGAGTGTAAAAATGAGCTGGGATAGTGCTTGGAGCCTCCTGGCTCCTTCCATGCAGCCTTGGGACAGGCAGGCAAGTTCTTAGAGGTTGTTTTGTGAAGACCTCCTAGCCTGTTCAAACACAAAGCATTGCAGTTACAGCAAAGGCCATTTCGAACTGCAGAACTTGAAACAGCGGTACATACTGTTCTGATGTGATTTCAGAAATCCAGGTAGTAATGAGGAGTGCAACCTGTGACTGGACTCTCCTTAATAGATAGGTAGTTAAATAAGCCAGAAAGGCTGCCCTCCATAATTCTTCTTCTGACAACGTCCAACTTTCTTTTGTCTTCACAGTTCCACCAAATATCTACAATATCTCCTCAGACATCACCGTGAATGAGGGCAGCAACGTGACCCTGGTTTGCCTGGCAAATGGGCGTCCTGAACCTGTCATCACCTGGAGGCACCTCACCCCAACAGGTAAGAGATCCAACTGGACTTGACTGTGCTGATGATTTGTGAACTGTTCAGTAGTTTCCTTCTCTTCCAGCATCAAAAGAAAATTTCAGTAGCAATGCAGGCAGCTGTAGAAAAGTGGCAAGAATCTTAAATGCACTTCATAACTTGTTTTGAGGTGTGATTTCCCAGGCACAATAAAGAGGTTTTCCAAGTGAAGAAATGAAATTACTTCAGTAGATGCTCTACAGAACTGGACCTGTAATTCTGTTTAGCTTTGGTCTTCATTGAGTTGTCCCAGTCTCTACTGCTGGTAATGCACAGCACAGTGATGGAGACAAAATGCTCCTGGTGCCAGACCGAGGGGAAAGGATTTCTGTTGAGATACTACATAAAAGAGTTTGCTTCCTACTGATTTCCTTTAAAAGAGAGAGACAAACAGTGGCACAGATGATTTCATATTACACTCCACTTTGGCAGACAGTTGTCTTGTGTCTTGTGAGGTGAGTAAAGAAGGCATTTGATCCTCAAGGTGAGTGAAGAGCAGGATGGAGACAGAATAAAGGAGAACTCATCATCTTTGTTCTGCTGTCTAACTGTGCCTTCCATGCTCAAGGACGTAACAAGCTTGGAAGGAGAATATCCTTTCAGTAGTCAGACTCTGTGGGGTTAGCAGCTTGGGTTGCAAGGAAATCTCACCCCCTGAAGATTTATCAGTAGGATGAGAACAAGAGGTGGGTTTCTCTTCCTCCGTTTCATGTACTTTGGGGAGAGAACTCTTTAGCTGATTTCTTTTGCTGTCAGATATTCTTTCATCTGAAATGCATGGGGAAAGCACTGATTAGCTCCATGTGAATGGTATCCTGTGATACTCCCATATATTGTAAAGGGTTAAAGAGGATTTGAGGTAGGCAGAGTACAAACATTCTGCATGTGCTACAGATAGTCAAGTATCCACTGCAGTTCAGCAGCCAGAAAAGAGGAGAGTGTTGCAGAAAGAACGTCTGAGAGAGAAAGAATGACACGTTGGAAGAGAGCTTAATCCTAGGGCTGCATCTGGAACCCCTTGGATTTGGAACTTGTGGTTCAGGTTGGGGTTACACAGATTTCCTGTCTTGTCCCTTCAGCCAACCCAAAGTCCTTCTGACGTTTCATGCATATGAAAGGCAGATATGCAGTTTGTATTTCTGGCCCATTTCTTGCAATGTCAAAAGAAGGAAGATGGGGAAAGAATGCCAGGAAGAGGTGGAAGGAGCAGAGCTGATGAGAGGAACGCTACTCCTCTGTGTTCCATCACTACCTGACTTTCCTCTTCTGCTTTTTTCAGCATTAAGCATGATGGTGCCATTTGCCTTTATAGGAAAATGGATCCTATTTTTTTCACCTTTAAATATGTATATAGAGCCTTCTACCTCTATTATTTCTGTTCCTAAGTTTTATTTCAGATCAAATCTTCCATCTTACTGCTGCATCTGTCTTTCAGTTCTCTATCTCTTTCTTGTATTCAAGTAGAAGATATTCCCTAGCTATTCTATGAACACAGCCTAATATTGTCTGAGTTAAGGGTGTTCCAAGGATGCTAGTTTAAATCTTCGTGAAAACTAAGACCTGGTACACATGAGATACATTGTTCAAAGCAGTAAGAAGATTCTTGTCCTGACTCATCACTTTGGCTTTTGGTGCTTTGTGGGTTTTTTTTCAATTGTACCACCTACTCCATTATATCAGATACAGACTTCTTTTCTCCTTTTTATAAAAGTCTCCTCAGAACAAATCTTCATTTTGGCTATCCTGTCTGGTGAGCAACAGAACTGGAGAACCCCATCCCCACTTTAACTCCAGAGTCAGATTGCCTGGATTTGTTGTTCAGTTTTCCAGCATGTTCCTTCCCATTTTTTCTCCCATACTGTGTGTTTCAGAGCCTCCCTCAGCACCATCTCACTGACTTCCTTCCAACCTCTCCTCAGTCTTCCTCCCTACAGTGAAGCCTGCCAAGCACCCCCTTTGTAATGAACTAGGGGTTACAGTGAAGGGCAGGCAGTCCTCATTCTGTCACCTCACTGTCTCACTGATTGTTGTTCTCTCTCTTTTTCCCCACCTGAACCCATGTGCTATCTTTTACAGATACAGAGGAACTACTTTCAGGCAGACATCAGGTCTTTGAGCAGCATGTAACCCAGTGAGACACTTGTCCCAAAATGGGAGAGTGAAGGCCTTCTTTAAAGTGTTTTCCTTGAGGTTGACAATTAATATAAATTCCATATCTATTCCAGAGCTGCTGCAGTTGGAAACGCATCTTATCTTGGAATCTCCCTTTTCCAAAACTGCAAGGCATTTTGGCTCCGTTTATGCAAGTTTTGAAGACATCTGCTATGCATCAAAGAGCTATTTTAGATCATTGTAAAGGTTTTTTAAAATATATCTCGCTCTGATTTTTTTCATGGTTAAACTCGTGACTGCAGAACTGGAAGACAGAGTGTTATTGAGCTCGTGTGGGAGATTTTGAATGGACAGGTAGTGAAATTAAACCCAAATTGGGGGGTGAGAGGGCCAAATTACTTTCTCACTGTGCACTCTCCTCAAGGAGTTCATTAGCGACTTTGTCCACTGTTTCTTTCGTTCATTGACTTAGTCAATAGTGTTTGTTGGCTAATTACCCAAGTTAGGATCACAGAAATGATTTATTTCTTTTTGGCTGTGAAGTGGAAGATACAAATGCAAAGGGAAAGCAGTGCTTCTACTTACGCAGAGAAGGCAGGAATGCATGTTCATTTAAATTCTGTGATCATAGCCTACTCATCTGCCTATCTGGGAAGTTAAAAAAAAATTATTTATAAAATGCTATGTCCCTTCCTTTGCTGGTCCTTCAGTGAACAGTTGAACCAGCCATTTTTCTCACATCAATTATAAGTCCCCAAGCCCTGAAGCAGCCCCAGGAAAAAACCCTCACCTAAGCCTGTGAGATAGTAAAGTGTGACTGTAGCACTGACACCTTAGGAGGAAGGCAGGTAAAGGGAAAAAAAAACCTTAATAATTCCAATGGCAAATGACAATACAGATCAGCTTTAATTTGCTGAAAGCAGGAATGACATTCTTTGGAATGATGCAAGTCCTTGCTCTCCTCTTCCATTCCTCTTCAGATGATTGATTGCATTTTGACAGAGCAGGTGAAGAGAGTCATGCAGACCCTTTCCTTTCTTATCTGACAGGCTACTGTTCTGTAGGACATTGGCAACCTGGTCTAAATAGTTGTGGATAATTTAATAGACATTGTCTGGGAGCACATACACCTTCATTAGTAACCACAGTGGTAGTGGATCAAAGGTTGGACTTGATGATCTCGGAGGTCCTTTCCAGCCTGGCTGATTCTATGATTCGATGATTCTATGATTAGCTCTTAAGCTCCAGACAGCAGAGCACTTTTCTGGGATTGCTGACCTGCAGCTTCCAGCAGGCCAACACATCCCTCCCTGCTCATAGTCTGATCCCTTTCCTGTGATTCAGGACATAGTGCAGGCTTGTTAAGCCCGCCATGCCCTATGACTTTTGCCGTTCCTGTTTGTGATGGTAATCCATGGCAAAGATTGTAACAGCGCTCTGGACTTGGATTTGTCAGGAAACTGGGATTTGTTCAGTTAGAGTGGGGATGAGTACTGATGATGTCCTTTACAAACTGTATGAGTTAGCAATTGTCAGCATTAGAAATTCTTCACTAGGGAATATGCTGTAGTCTCTCATCTCTTGAAAGGGATAAAACCCAGACTCTTTGTACAAATAGTGGGTGGTACCCTATTGTTTCAGTCTCCTTAATATTAAATCATAACCTGCCTGATCCATGGTTCACAAAGGCATAGATTATATTTTCCTCACGGAATACAATAACTTCAAATATCCACTAGCTGCGCCACAGTCTGGACAAGGTCCAAGCACAGGACCATGTATCATTTATCACACTGACATGGTCTGTGCAGGCTACCCCAGGCAGCCTACCCATCTATGGCTAGGTATGTTAGCAGGTGCTCTGTTTTCTTTGTACCATGCACAAAGATAAAAACTAACACAGCCAAGAAAAAGATCCAGTAAGGTAGATTAGACATGGTAGCCAGTGCCTGCTTTTGAGCTCATCTTAGTTTTACTTCATGTCTTTATTGACTTATTTTTATTCAGGATAATGTGACTTCTCCCTACCCATAAGATGCTGAGATCACAGTCCAGAGACTTTATAATTTATCACTGCTCATCCCTCTGTCTTATTTAGAGCCATGCTAGATGCCTGGTTGACTGAAAAAAGAGCTTTCTGGTGAAAGTAAAGATTCATGTGTGTTCATATTCTTATCAATAAACTCCCTCTCAACAGAAGCCCTAAAGAGTGGCTTCTTGGGAATCGAGTTAGCAGCAATATGAACATGGAGAGTTGTTGCAAGGTCTTTACATTACCAGAGATCTCACTGCCAATCCTTTTGCTGTGTATGGGCAGACAAATGTAGAAGAAAAAGAAAAAAGGCAGCTCCTGTCCTGAGGAGCTTGTACTCAAGCTCACAGGGGTAGACCCATTCACATTTCTGCTCTTCTACCACAAAGCATGTAGTTGAAACCTTCTTGAGGGCCTTGCTCATAGGTGTTGTGCCAAGTGCCATGGTGTTGGTATCCATGTTGATGACGACCTGACAGGCAGTGGCAGGGAGACAAAGCTATATTGATCAAAGTTGAACAATTGAGGCTTTTACTGATTGGGCTCAACCAGCTGAGGAGTAAGCAATTCCATTTTCCTAGAGAATGTGAAACCTGTATAAAACCAATAGGTACCTCATTCTTGATCCAACTTCCTTGGCTTCAGCCTGTCAAGGCTGCTTGATGGAGAAGAGAACAGTCTGGATTCTCCCAAATTCCACCTGACAGTCTAAAGATATGCACTTTGGGTCAGAAAAAGGAGCTCAGTTATTACAGTGGTAATCACAGCATAAGAACCAGTCTAGAGCAAAGCAGATAAGTATTGATTGCAACACCCAAGTTTCATGTCACAG